CAACGTCTTGCTATCAGTCAATGGCTATGCTCGCGTCAAGACTGGGATCTCGGTGGTCCAGAACGGGCGTGGCAACTTTGGCTGACTTGATCTGATTGGGCAGGAATACAGTCTAAACCCATTGGTGGATTCTCCATCTCTGTTCTGAGAAAAGGCGTTCAGCTAAGACAACGCCCCTTTCATGTCTGTTACAGCAATGGTCATTTTGGGCTTGATTTAAAATATAATCTTAACATAATCCTAATTCTGTCCTTTTACAGAACTGTTCATCTTCATGCTTATGGAGAATTTTTGCTTGAGGCCTATCTTTGAATCTTCCAAACACTTACCTTAACAAGGAAGAGGATTGGTGATTCTTCACAGATCCTGGGATTTAGCAGCTGGCTTCTGGAAATAACATTCTATATAACAATGATTGTTGTACGGTTCCATTTTCTAACTTTTATCTGGCTTCAGCTTGTCTAGTTCAGGGGTCCCCAACCCCCCAACCAGTACCGGGCCACAGCATGCCAGCAACCGGTCTGCACAAACGAGCCAAGGCCCATCTACGGGATGCAGGCAGCACACAAAACCATGCACTCTCCGGTCCGTGGAACTGGTCCCTGGTGCCCAAAAGGTTGGAGACCTCTGGTCTAGTTCTCAAATTAGGGTTCACAAACCTTTTAGAATAAGAGCTTATTTGAAAATTTGAAAACATGTCATGGGCAGACTTACTATATGCCATATTGGGGGGGTTACCTATTCCAAAAAGACTTTTATGTATTTTGAAAAACATTTTTACCCAAAGATACTGTGGTGAAATGACTTTGAAGCATTTTCAATAATCTTTTGCCTATCGGACCTAGAGACATTCTCATAAATAAATATAATCCTAGCTACTCTTTTTTAATTACATGAGTTTGAAAAAATGCAAAAATCCAGCTGGAGCAGTGAGTCTTATAGGTATCAAGGGAGATATCCATAAGCACTATGTTGCCTAATTCTGTAATAAATCTGTACTCTTTTTAAATAACTCAGTCACTTGCTCCTGTTGTTAGAAGGGTTGTAATTATTCTATAATTTCAAGTGGGACTGAAGAATTGGAGAAAAATGTGAAACTGAGAATGTCAGATTTAGGAATAAGTGGAGATCAGTCTGTCCTTATACTTATTTCTATTCCACAGTTGACATATACTGTACTGTTGATCATGAACAAGTATGTCACCATTGTGCTCACAAATACCTTTCTTGGCAACCTCTAGAGTTTTTATCCTATTTTACATTTTTCTAAAGAAGAACACTTAAAAAGTATAATTCTGAGGGTCTGCATCATCTTTATGCCCTAGTACAGAGGTAGGCAACCCAAAATACTCAAAGAGCCACTTGGACCCGTTTCCCACCGAAAACAAAACACGGAGCCGCAAAACCCTTTGGATATCTAAAATTATATATATGTATGTATGTATGTAGGTAGGTCTTTGGTTGTTCGGGTTTTCTCCCATGTAAAATTGGAAGTGTCTTGGCGACGTTCCGACAAAGTCCCATTCGTCATCTTCAGGCTGGTGTTTTCAGCTTCGTGCTTCGTGCACCCTTGGTCTGCCAGTCTTCTTGCTCCACTGTGTGTGTGTGTGTGTGAGAGAGAGAGAGGGGGGGGGAGAGAGAGAGAGAGAGAGAGAGAGAGAGATTTGCGCTTCCCCCTCTTTCTCTCTCTTACCTTTTCCTCTCTCTCCTTCTTTCCTCTTTCTTCTCCCTTTCTCTTTCCTTTCTCCCTTTCCTCTTTCTCTTTACTCTCTCCCCCTTTCCTCTCTTTCTCCCTTTCTCTTTCTTTCCTCTTTCTCTCTTTCCTTTCTTTCCTTTTTCTTTCCTTTCCTTTCTCCCTTTGTTTCCTCTCTCTCTCCCCTCCCTCTCCCTTTCTCTTTCCTCTCCCTTTCTCTTTTCTTTCTCCCTTTTTCTCTCTTTTCTTTTTCCCCTTTTCCTCTTTCTCCCTTTCTTTCTTCTCTCTTCCTCTCCCTCCCCCTCTTTCTTTCATCTCCCTTTTTCTTTTCTCTTTCTCCCTCTTTCCCTTTCTTTCCTCTTTCTCCTTTCCTCTTTCCTTTCTCTTTCTTTCCTCTTTCCTTTTTCTTTCCTTTCCTCTCTTTTTCCCTTTCTCTTTTTCCTCTTTCCTCTCTTTCTCCCTCTTTTTCTTTCCTTTCTCTCTCCCTCCCCTTCTTTCATCCCCCTGTCTCTTTCTCCCTCTTTCTTCTTTCTCCTTTCTTTCCTCTTTCCTTTCTTTCCTCTTTCTTTCCTCTCTTTCTTTCCTCCCTTCCCCTCTCCCTCTTTCTTCTCCCTCTTTTCTTTTTTCTCTTTCCTTTTTCTTTCCTCTCGCGTTCCTTTCTCTTTCCTCTCTCTCTCTCTTTCCACCACCCCCCCTTTACTAACAGAACCAGTTCACCTACCAAATTGTTTAACTTCCTCCCTTAGAGATGGGCAATGTGGATTCACCACATTTTGACAAAGAGAAATGCCAGCACCTCTCATCGATTCTGCTGCAGGGATGGCAAACGCTGTATGTTAGCAATATCTGGAGAGCTACAGTTCATCCGCACCCTCCTGAAAGGCTCTCCCATCCGTTGCAATGTCACGCTTTGAAAGGCCCCTTACCCTCCTTCGCTTCAGGCCGACTGTGCCCAGCAGGGAGCCTCAGTAGCCGGCGTGGAAGGGAGGAGGGGAGGAAGAGAGACAGACCATCTCCTCGCAGCTCACTTCCAATCCCAATGTTGTGAATCCTGCTTGGGATTTGGGACTGAGAGGGGGAAGATCCTGTCTCCCAAGCTGCAGGGACTTCCAACCAGAGAGCTTGCTTGGCTCTGTTCCCAGCCAGCGCCGTGCGTGCGCAAAACAACAGCAACAAAATGCTGCTTGCCCACCTGCCTGGCTCCCAGGCCTCGGTAGCCAACCATTTGAAGTGAGCAGCCTCATCCATAAAGAGAGAAGAGGAGAGAGTGAGGGTGGATGAGCCAAATCTGTGGCAGGGATAACAAGGGTTCGGGAGATGCTAGCACGAAAATTCCGCGTCTTTTGACGTACCTCGCCTTGCCCCCACTGGTTCTTCGCCAGAACAAGTCATCCTCTCTCTCTCTTTCTCTCTCTTTCCTCTGCCCCCCTCCAGATGTGAGAGAGAGAGAGAAAAGAAAACGAAAGGCAGACGGCGCCAAAGGGGCAGGGAGGGGAGGGGGCAGGAGGCAGTAGAAGGCGCTGAAAGGCACCTGGGACACCACGGACCAGCCTGGGGAGATGTGTGGCGAGCTCGGCTGCCCAGGGAACGGCCCGTGGACGGCCCAGGAAGTGATGCCCCCTTGCCACCTAGCCCAGCCTGGGGAGATGTGTAGCCAGCTCGGCAACCCGGGGATGACCCAGGGAGCAATGGGCCTACCACCGCCGCCGCCGCCCCAGCCAGGACTGCCGCAGACACGTGGTCAGCTCAGCGCCCTGGGGATGGCCCAGGGAGCGATGCTGCCGCCCCAGCCATCAGCTGCCTGGGGAATGGCCTGTGGACGGCCCAGGAAGCAATGTCCCCAACCCAGCCCAGGGAGACATGTGGCCGGCTTGGCGACCTGGGGGCGACCCAGGAAGCGATGCTGCCGCCCCAGCCGCGACTGCTGCTCAGCCCGGCCCGCAGAGATGCGTAGCCGGCTCAGCTGCCCGGGGGCGGCCCAGGAAGCGATGCCCTCCTGCCGCCGCCCCAGCTGGGACTGCCGCCTGGCCCAACCTAGGGAGATGCATAGCTGGCTCGGCGGCCTGGGGATGGCCCATGGAGCAATGCCTCCGCCGACAATGACCCAGCCAGGACTGCCGCCTGGCCCGGGCAGACACGTGGCTGGCCCGGGCAGACACGTGGTCAGCTTGGCAGCCCGGGGACGGCCCAGGAAGTGATGCCCTCGCCACCACTGCCGCCCCAGCCGGGACTGAGACCTGGGGGGCAGCAGGAGAACAAAGAAGGGAGTGGGAGGCTCCGGAGATGGCTCAAAGAGCTGCATGCTGCTCTGGAGCTGCGGGTTGCCGACTTGTGCCCTAGTAGCTTAGAAAATAAAAATGGATGCTTTGAGCACAGTACTGCGCTCAGAAGTATACCATTTGCCTGCAAAAGCTCAGAGTAAGCTGGGGGGGGGGGTGATAGTGTCCTGTAGATTTGGAAGGCTGTGCTCAGATAAATTAGTACTTTGAGATTTGTTAGTCCCTAACTGCTGTTATTTTGATATTGTGTGGATCTCCATGGAAAGCATTTTGCAACAGTGCTCATGACACACTCTTAAAATTCTAAATGTACCCTTAAAAGATGGGGACCATGATTTAGGTAATTCTGATACATAGTGCCTAGAAAACAAAAGGTTAAAAACATGTTTAAGTAATCTTTAATTATTAAAGGTAATACAAATCAATCAACTGTTTCATACCTATAATATTAATTAAATTTATATGTCGTCTATCTCACTATTAAAGCAACTCAGTATGTAAAATAGATAACTGAAATCTCTGAAAATGTATATATTATGAATACATTGAAATGCCAGTATGAATTTAATTTAAATGCAGCAGAATTTAAGGGAGTGTGTAAAATAAAGGATATCTGTTATTGATCTTATTTAAGAGGTATGAATTGTGAAAGAAGGGCTTTTGATCCCAACCTTGAGGACAAAGTATGTGTGGTTTGAATTTAAATTTATTTTTATGAGCAAGTAAGTCCCCATGTCCCTCTTTTTATTGCCTTCCTCTCTGTCAAATATTGAGATTTTTGGAAATAATTTAGAATACAACTTGGCAAACAGAAGGAAAAATGTAATAAATGATCTCCTTTATTTTGTATATGAAGACATAATTTTAGGATCCAACTATATATATGTGTGTATATATGTACATTGCTGCCTTAAAGTTGCCAACATAAAATGTTTGATATGTATTTCTCAATAAGGTGATAAGTTTGCCATCTATTTGTATGTAATTTGGGGATGGGTAACAGTCCAACAATTATTTTTTATTTTTAGATCTCCATATGATGATTTTTTTATCATGGCAAATGACACTTTGGAAGGTTTTCATGAAGTGAATCTAGCTTCCCCGACTACTCCAGATCTTTTAGAAGTGCATGAATCTAAAACTTCTGAAGAACCTACCTCACCTACCATAATTTACCGGCTTCATCCCTCAGCTGTATGCTCCTTACCTATTCAACCAAGTGTTCTGAATGTGACTGATCTTCCTACACAACCTGTCTACTCATCTGCTAGGCACCTAAATTGTGCAGAAACACCAGGTATCAGGTTGGTTGTAAAAAAAACTTTAAAAAAAGTTTTATTGATTTTTAACATATACCTTAATATTTGGTAAACATTGTCTTGTCTGGGTTAATGTTTAAAAAATAATTAATTTCTATAATTCTATAGTCCATATGATAGCTTTACATGATTTCCTCTTCTTCCAATAATATTCTCTTTTGCCAACCTTAAATTAATACAATTCTTATTTAAATAAATGACAATTAAATATAAACATTTTTCTCATGTTTCTGCAAGTAATAAACACATCAATATAAAGCTTCTTTTCATTGGTCATCTTGATTGCCTCATCATAAGTCCTGTTTACATTCTTATTTAAATTTGTTTTCCCCACAATATTCAAAACTTTTCTTACTGGTTAAGATTTTCTCAAAATTAGTTACACTTAAATATTTAAGTCTTTTTTCTCATACAAGCCATCACATTTTTACATTTCTCATATCTTAAAAAAAAAAAAGAGCAAAAGAAAGAAAGAAAAAGACAAAACAGAGAAAACATTTCTTTTATATAAACCATCCCAACATTTTTATATTTCTCATGTCAAAAAACCAAACCCAAAAGAATAAAGAAAGAAGGCAATACTATATGGAGGGAAGTGTGTAGTGGGGTGCCCCAGGGCTCTGTTCTGGGCCCAGTGCTCTTCAACATCTTCATCAACGATCTGGACGAGGGGATAGATGGGGAACTCAGCAAATTTGCAGACGACACCAAGCTGGCAGGAATAGCCAACACTCCAGAAGACAGGCTTAGGATACAGGAGGATCTGGACAGACTTGAACACTGGGCACTATCTAACAAAATGAAATTCAATGGCTCTCTGCCATTTTCTATGCGCTAGACAATAGAAGGAAAAGTTGGAATATCAGCCGGCCAGCTAGCTTTTTTGGGGGAGGGGGGGAATTATAAAGAGTTTTGTTAAATCTTTGTTATTTAGGGGGAAAAGTTTAAAATTATGATCTCTGTTTGGGAGAAGACTTGATAGGTTTTAATATTTGGGAGTATTTATTATAATTTTTAATAAACATATAAAGATAATTACGATATATTATGATATATTAAAAGTGTATAAGAAGTTGATAGGTTTTGATTTAGGAGAAAAGGTTAAATTTATGATTAATAAATTTACTTGGGTCTGGGGGGGAAAGAGTTAAGAGCCAAGTTTATATTGTTTAAAAGAAATATACATCTCGGGGTGGAGAAGGTGGATAAATTATATGAAGAATAAATATGGGATTTAATGGATAAATTATGATTAGAGTAGATATGATTAAAAGTATCGTTTTGATTATGAATAATTTTTGGTTTAAATTTGGAATTGTTTAATTCGCTTTGTATTTGATTTTTATATTTGATTATGAATAATTTTTGGTTTGAATTTTTTAATTTGCTTGAATTTGTTGTTTAAATTTGTTTCGTATCTGAGTTAAAGTAAGTTATTGATTTTGTTATTTGTATAGTTGGATAGGTTTAGTTAGATTCAGTTTGTGTTAGTTAAAGTTAAGTAGATTTTGTTTAATATGTTTGAAAACCCTGTGCCAAGCTCTGGGAAGTGGGGGGAGGGGGGTTGGGGATGGGTGGGTGTTCTGGGGAGTGGGGGGGAGGGGGGGTTGGCGGTGGGTGGGTAAGTAGATCAGACAATAGGATTAAAGTAAGATAATAGATGGGACAACTTATGAGAGAGATGTTGCTTGGGCATTTCCCCGGCACTGTATCCGAAGAGGGATGAGAGTGGAGGAGAAAGGTTAGGGAGGAAGTAGGATGGTGAGAGGAGAGGGGGAGGGGAGAGAGAGAGGTGAGGGAAGGTGAGAAAGAGGAGGGAAGTAAGGGAGAGTGTTAGAGAAGGCGGATGCAGTTTGGGGGGGTGGGCAAGCAACACCTATGTGGATTTATTTTATTTTGTCAAATGTGAAATTTTTTCTTTTTTGTTTATGTAATTGATAAATGAAAAATAAAAACTTTAAAAAAAATGAAATTCAATGGTGAAAAAGGTAAGGTTCTGCATTTAGGCAAGAAAAACCAAATGTACAGGTATAGTATAGGGGGTACCTTGCTCAATAGTAGTAACTGTGAGAGGGATCTCGGAGTCCTAGTGGACAATCATTTAAATATGAGCCAGCAGTGTGCTGCAGCTGCCAAAAAAGCCAACACAGTGCTAGGCTGCATTAACAGAGGAATAGAATTAAGATCACGTGAAGTATTAATACCACTTTACAATGCCTTGGTAAAGCCACTCTTGGAATACTGCATCCAGTTTTGGTCACCATGATGTAAAAAAGATGCTGAAATTCTAGAAAGAGTACAGAGAAGAGCAACAAAGATGATTAGGGGACTGGAGACTAAAACATATAAAGAACGGTTGCTGGAGTTGGGTATGTCTAGTTTAATGAAGAGAAGGACGAGGGGGAACATGATAGCAATGTTCCAATATCTCAGGGGCTGCCACAAAGAAGAGAGAGTCAAGCTATTTTCCAAAGCACCTGAAGGCAGGACAAGAAGCATCGGGTGGAAACTAACCAAAGAGAGAAGCAACCTAGAACTAAGGAGAAACTTCCTGACAATTAACACTGGTTAATAGAACAATTAACCAGTGGAATAACTTGCCTCCAGAAGTGGTGAATGCGCGAACACTGGAAGTTTTTAAGAAGAAACTGGACAGCCATTTGTCCGAAATGGTATAGGGTTTCCTGCCTGAGCAGGGGTTTGGACTAGATGACCTCCAAGGTCCCTTCCAACTTTATTATTATTATTATTATGGATCATCGCACAGTCAGCCAGATGTTCAGACTGGATTTGGCATTTTGTCTACCTATCGAGTCCTTACCCAGGACCTGGGATAGGCAGATGTGGATGTTTGATGGTATTACAGATAGCGTCGCAGGATGGAAGCAGTTCCTAGTAATGCCACCTTTTGCAATTGACTAATAGCAAATTTGTCAATGCCAATGGTGTTCAAGTGGTGCTCCAGTTGTTTTGGGATTGCACCCAAGGAGCCTATCACTATTGGTACTACCCTTGCTTGCTTTTGCCACAGTCTTTCTATTTCTATTTGTAGGTCTTTGTATTTTGTTATCTTCTCCAGTTCTTTCTTCTTCTATTCTGCCTGTTTTTCTTATCGACAATTGTTAAGTCTGGCGTGTTATGTTGCAGGTGCTTGTCTGTTTGAATTCTGAAGTCCCAGAGCAGTTTAATTTTATCATTTTCTATGACTTTCTCTATTTTATGATCCCACCAGTTTTTGCTTACAGGCAAATGATATTTTTTGCAGATCTTCCAATGCACCATTGTTGCTACTTTGTCATGCCGCTGCTTGTAGTCAGTCTGTGCAATCTTCTTGCAACAGCTTACCAGGTGGTCCACTGTTTCTTCAGCTTCTTTGCATAGGCGGCACTTACTGTCTGTTGCTGTCTTCTCAATTTTGACTTTATATGCATTTGTCCTTAAGGCTTGGTCTTGTGCAGCCAGAATTAGTCCCTCGGTCTCTTTCTTCAATTTTCCTGCTCTTAGCCATTGCCAGGTCTTGTTATTATCTGCTTTCCCAGCTATTTTTTTAATGTATTGGCCATGTAGTGCTTTGTCTTCCCATGCCTCTATTCTGTTCTTCATTTGGTCTTTCTTGTAGGCCAGTTTGGTCTCTCCAGTAGTTAGTAAGCCTTCCTGATATACTAATTTCAGTGCATCTTCATCATTGTTCTTCGGATATTCTTCCAAAGCCATTTTTTCTTCTTCAACCATCTGATGTACTTGTAGCATTCCACGCCCACCTATTTGCCTTGGTAGATAAAGTCTATCAATGTCACTGCGTGGATGAAGGGCATTATTATTATTATTATTATTATTATTATTATTATTATTATTATTATGATCATCGCACAGTCAGCCAGATGTTCAGACTGGATTTGGCATTTTGTCTACCTATCGAGTCCTTACCCAGGACCTGGGATAGGCAGATGTGGATGTTTGATGGTATTACAGGTATCGTCACATAATGGAAGCAGTTCCTAGTAAGGCCGCCTTTTGCAATTGACCAATAGCGAATTTGTCAATGCCAATGGTGTTCAAGTGGTGCTCCAGTTGTTTTGGGATTGCACCCAAGGAGCCTATGACTATTGGTACTACCCTTGCTTGCTTTTGCCACAGTCTTTCTATTTCTATTTGTAGGTCTTTGTATTTTGTTATCTTCTCCAGTTCTTTCTCGTCTATTCTGCTGTCTCCAGGCACTGCCACGTCCACTATCCAGACTTTTTTGTCTTTCTTATCGACAATTGTTAAGTCTGGGGTGTTATGTTGCAGGTGCTTGTCTGTTTGAATTCTGAAGTCCCAGAGCAGTTTAATTTTATCATTTTCTATGACTTTCTCTATTTTATGATCCCACCAGTTTTTGCTTACAGGCAAATGATATTTTTTGCAGATCTTCCAATGCACCATTGTTGCTACTTTGTCATGCCGTGCTTGTATTATTATTATTATTATTATTATTATTATTATTATTATTATTATTATTATGGATCATCGCACAGTCAGCCAGATGTTCAGACTGGATTTGGCATTTTGTCTACCTATCGAGTCCTTACCCAGGACCTGGGATAGGCAGATGTGGATGTTTGATGGTATTACAGATATTGTCGCAGGATGGAAGCAGTTCCTAGTAAGGCCACCTTTTGCAATTGACTAATAGCGAATTTGTTGTTGTTATTATTATTATTATTATTATTACATTACTTTAGGGACTCATCCCTCTTAAACTAATCTTCATTTATATTTAAAATCTTTCTATTTCTTTAACCATATTCAAACAAATGTTTAATTTTTAAATACTCCCTCTGGTAATTTTCATCATCTAATTTCTTAATTCTCACTTTAGCCTTTTTTTTTTTTTTTTTTTGCCCAACATCTTTCCTGTTCAATATGCTTCAATGAGTCAGATAGTCTTCCCATAATCTTATAAATGTTTTTACAGGTACAAAAGGCCAAACAGGTAAGATGTTTTTATAGGAAGGTTTCGCCCTTTTGTGTTCATTGAAAATCTTTTCCTTTTTGTCTTTCTTGATTTTATTATTTTTTGTCTCTCAAGATCTCACAATTCTGGCCAAATCCATTTTACCAAATTTTTCTTGTCCCCAAACTTATTTTGTAATCTTAAAGTGTAGTTTGTCTTTTCCATATACAGAGTTTCTTGTAAAAAATTTTTCCATCTGGGTTAAGTCATATTTCCTTGTATTGTTAAATTCCATCTTGAAATCTCCTCTGTCTTGTAGTCAATTGTCTGTTTTTTCTGCTCACTCTATTTTTATTTTCTGAGAATTTTTATGTTGTAAAATTAAATTGGAGATGTGTTCATTTATATTTTCAAGGTTATGTTTAATTTCCTCATGGTTTGAGGTTATTGTTGTTTGAATTAATTGCAACATAGCATAGATCTCCTTTTGGAAAGTATTTGTTTTTTCTTGGTATAGTCTTTTTGCAGATCTCTGGTTTTCCATGATAGCCAAAAATCAAAGTTTTCCTTTCTCTGCGGATAGCTTTAGAGTTACAGTTGAGTTAGTATTTGTAATCCAGAATGGTCAACTCTCTCTCTCTTTTTTTAGAGTTTATAATTTTCACTTTGTAGAAAGCCCAAGATGTTTTCTTTTTTCTTTTTGTCACAGTTGTTCTTTGTTATTAAGACATTGAAGGTCAATTTATCTTTTCCTGGGCCTTGCCAGTCTCTGCAGTAAAGCAGCATTGTATATTTTCATCCACCACTAGATGTCAGCACCAATTCTTCTATTTTCATGATATAAAAGGAAAATCTTAACAGATTCCACCGATTTCAAACTTAACCAAATTAAATCTTATAATCTTTTCATTTCAATATATTTTTATTCCCTCTGAAAGGTTTAATTTGCCACTTCTGTCTGTAGGAGGGTAGGGCAAAAGTCTCCCTCCTTTTCACTTTCCGAGTGAGGTTTTTCTTGGGGTTTTTCTTTTTGTTTTTTTTTTCCAGGAAATCAATTTCCAAATAGGAAAGAGAAAATCACTGTTCTTACCCAGTTCCAAACACGTTTACAGTCAGCTTGAAGTAGTACTTTTGGACTTTGGTTGCTTGTAACTTGGGCTAGACTTGGAAGTTAAGCTAGCCTCTTCTCCTGCCAGTTTCTGAAGGGCTTTTCCCAAACCGATCAGATCAACTGCCATCTCTCGGCAATCGGCTGGACTTCTCTCCTTCTGTGTTTCCTCTACGTGGCAACTTCAGGCCCATTTAGGATCCCCCAGCAGGCAGAAATCAGGCATAGGGAGTGGAGCCTCATGATCCCTTGGCTGCTGCGCTACTATGCAAAACTGGAAATCATTAAAAAAACTTTTATTGATAATTATACAGGCTGTGTAATTAATCATTTTGTGTTACCTGTGAATGTCTTCGAGTGTTTTTTAAAAAATGCAGTCCATGTGTAATATATTACTTTTTAAAAATACACTCTTTTCTTGCAGCATCAATGTCACAGAAACTGTATCATGTTCTACCTCAGGAAGCTATGGTGGGAAGGACAACTGTAGCGCAGAGAGAGAATTTTTGCAGGGTACAACAGTAACCGACTTTTCTGAAGGAAGAGATGATGTTTTTGGTCTGAGCACAGATGGTCTCTCTCGTCTGCGAAGCCCATCGGTATTGGAAGTTAGAGAGAAAGGCTATGAAAGACTTAAAGAGGAACTTGCTAAAGCTCAAAGGGTAAGAATAATGCATATAATGCTATTTCTGTGTAAGGGCAGAATATTGGTGCTGAGATAAAACATTCCAAATCCTAGCAATTCTTTTTTTTTCTCTTTATTTTCTATCTTCTCTTTTCATTGTATGCCAACAAAATATTACACTGTACTTTAGATAACTTCCAAGCTACTTCACTGTTTATTGTAAAGTAATGTTTTATTGTGGATGTCCGGGAAGCTATGACGAATTGAAGATGGCCCTGAGGTGAGCAGAGTTGTCAAGTGTGGTGGACTAAGAAGTCAGAAAAAGAGCAGGATTCTTGTTTTTCCACTCTAAACAAAGGGAAGAATCAGGATTGCCCACATGCAAATCCAGACATGAAGACAGACAGTAGCTCCCCATGAAGAGAGTGTAAGACAGTAGTCTCCGGTAAGTTTAAAACTCTTGAGAGTGGAGGAAGTCTCCATCTTTGTCTAAGCCATGGCTTTGAGTGTTCAGATGGACACTGGGTTCGCACGCTTCCTTTTTTATCACTTTTAATAGCTTATTAACGGCCTTTTGAATACTAAGAAGCTGCAAATTGGCAAGTTGCAGTATATCAGGAAAGTCTTCCTCAGTCCTTAGTGAAATAAGTTTTATGCAAATTTAATGGTTTTAAAAACTTTTGGACTAAGCAAAACAGTGATTACAACACTCTCATTTAGTTTCAGAATGTAGTTTAGGAAAAATGTAGTTTAGGGAAAAATGAAGCTTCTGAAATTAAATATAACAAAAATTTCCTATAGGAACATGTTGTTGACCAGAATACTACATAAGATGGGACCTTGAAGGTTAAACACTAGAGGGAACCAGAAAGAATTAAAAGATTATCATTGACGTTCCAAATTCTTCTGAATAATTTGAATTTAAGGATATTTGGGACTAATATACTCAGAAGTTATTTTTAAGACTTATTAACAAGACCGAGACCAATTTGAATGTGGACTTAAAAATGGCAGATTACAACAATGATACAGATAAAGATTTTACAGTGAATATAGATAAAAAAACCAGCTGGCGTCTTAATACTTAAAAGATATATAGAAATAACAAACCAGAAAGTAATTTGTATATCATTTTTAGTTTGGATTTAGAAAAAAAATGTGTTAATGTCTGAGGAGACAAAGAGAAAATGGAAAGAAATCAAGGAATCTATTCAAAAGAAATAAAGATTAAGACTGTAAAAAGTAAAACAAACATAAAATGGGGTTATCTGATTAAGGTTAAAATGTACAGTTCTGGTAATGCGTAATGGATTTTTGCTGATCAGAACTGAATGATGAGGCTCTAAAACTTTGTTTATAAATAAGACATAAAAGAGATCCTTTGTTATATTTTTAGGGACTGTGATAAGGTACTGTGTTAAATAAAGGACAGGAATATACAGCTAGTTTATTTATTGTTACTTCTGGTAACTCTTAATGGACCTTTGTTGGCTAGAATTATATGATGAAAATCTATAAATAAAAAATGAATCATGACATGAAGAATGCATATGTTGCAGCATTAAAGAAAATGATAAGCTACTGAAATTGTACTTGTCATGATGAAGGGAGAAGTTATTTTTTATATATCTTTTTTCTTGAATGTGATTTTTTTCCTTTTTACACTTTTTAATTTTATTTTACTGTTAAATTTTTTAGTTTGAATTAGCTTTATCTTTGTAATTGTAAACTTTAATAAAAATTACTATTAAAAAATTACATTGCTACTAAGACATTTTTCAATACTAAAATACCAATAATAATTAAAAATGGTCAATCTGATAAAACTGCTGTAAGTATTGCACTTTTTTGTGTTATTTAGGCCTGTATTGTATAAGCATTTTAACATTCAGATGGAATCTGCCTTCTGTAATTCAAATCCTTTATTCTGTGTTGTGCCTTATAGAATTAAAAAGAAGAGGTCCTGACTATCTTCTGTACTAAATCATTTTATATATTTTAAGAGCATCCTTGTATCCCACCTCACTCATTATTTCTCAAAGATAAAATACCCAGTTCCTTCTATCTTTTTTCAGAAGCTTAGTTTTGCTAATTGGTGATTGCTACACTTCTCAGAGTGCAGTGCTGAGAACTGGACCCAGTGCCTAAAGCAGAACAGAGTGGAATAACTACTTCCTGTCCTTTGAAATTATACTTGTGTTGGTGCAGCTTAAAATTGTATTTGCCGCCTTGATAGCCACATCACATTGCTGGCTCATATTCAGTTTTTTAGTTTGCAGGTATAATTACCAAGTCAGATATTCTTCCTCTCTTCTTACATTTGTATATTTGATTTCTGTTTCCTAAGTGAAAAACTGGGAAAAATTTGATTGCTTTCTATAACCTATTAAGAGTATTTGAAATCTTTATTTTCTAGAACATTAATTAATATTAGTTATCCCACTCACTACATATTTACAAATCTAGGATGCTTTCCCTCTGCTTATCATCCAAATAATATAAATATTGAACAGTTGAAGCCCAAGGATCAATCATTGTGACCACCTATTAAGTACCTTTGTACTGCTTGATGAACCATTGATGAGATCCTCCTGTCTAAGAAACTGAGCAGTTTTTGAGCTATCTCTGTTTCCACTAAATTGCCCTGCCATCCAAACCTATATTTTAACTAACTTGCTTATTAATAGGTCATGGGGTAGTTTCTCAAATGTGAAGTAAAGGGGGGGGGTACATTTGTAGAATTCCATATAACAAACAAAAAGCAAGTAACATTTCATGGAAATTTACAACATGGGGTCAACTATAGAAAATTGTTATTTAATGTGAAGCTGAACAGGGGTTTTATGTACATCTTAAAATTTGGGTATAATAGGATACATCTGGGAAACAGTGAAGATTTTCCTAGTTTTGTTGTATTCTGTCTGTAGATAGATATCCACAGTAAAGATGATACTTCTGCTATAGAATAACTAACAATATTTTTAAAAATTTGAATTTGTTTTGCATTAGACTACTAATAAATTGTGTTATATGTTTCTTTCCAAGCTTTCTAGATTATAATTACTTGTTCAGCTCAAACTATATATTCTGACTTTTTCTAGAAAAGGATATTATTTTAGATGTATGATCTTGATGCTGCTTGTTCCTGTTCTGCAGTCTACACCCCAGTGCTTTTCAACCTGTGATAATGCGTACCACTGGTGATACTCGGTACCTGGCAGGTGGTATGTATACGATGGGTTGAAAAGCATTGTTTAAAAAAATGTATTAAAAAAGTGTAAAAGTGTAGCGGGGGGGTGAGCTGAAACAGCAGCAATGCTGCACAGGCCTCTGGAAGAGTCAGCTGGAGCTGTGGTGTTGCTGGGGTTCTGCTGAGCTCCCAGGATCGCTGTGGGGCTCCAGCTGATTGGTGCTTCTGGAAGCTGTGTGCAGCCTTAGGGAAAGGCGTCATCTGCATCTACACCAAAGAGAAAAGGAGGAGGAGGGGGAGAGAGGAGAGGATATAAAAGGAGCTTTTGGAAGGAAAGGAAGAAAAAAACCTGACAGAGAAAGAGAAGGGGACGGAGAAAGAGATGGAGAAGAGGAGAGGCTTCTTTTAGACAAGCAGAGGGAGAGAAGGGGATAGAACAGTGCAAAGATTAATGTCAGAGAAACAAACACAAATTTCCCTTAAAAGTATGGTAAGTGGGTGAACCTACGATCACAATTGAGCTCAAAATTTATGTTGCTAATGAGAAATGTGTTAAATGAGTTTTGTCCCATTTTATGACTTTTCTTGCCACATTTGTTAAGTGAATCAATGCTGTTGTTAATTAGTAACATAATTGTTAAGTGAATCTGGTTTCCCATGACTTTGCTTGTTAGAAGGTTACAAAAGGGGGTCACATGACCCTGGGACACTATGATCATCATAAATATGAATCAGTTGCCAAGCATCTGAATGTAAATCATATGACCCTTGGAATGCTGCAACCGGAATCAGTGTGAAAAATGATCATAAATATCTTTTTTCTGTGTTGTTGTAACTTTGAACAGTCACTAAGCAAACTGTTGTAAGTTTACCTCATTACTTTTTTCATTTTTTTTGGTCATCAAGTTTTTGACATCTTCTTAGGTGACTGGTGGTACTCGAATATTGCCATATCCTAAAAGTGGTACAATCTGTGAAAAGGTTGAAAAGCCCTGGTCTACACTATGCACTGTATTTAACTGATTTGAATTTCATGCCTAATGCAGACATGTCGAACTTGCAATGTCACGTGATGTCGCGAGACATATCGGGACTATTTTGCCATTGCTGGCAATGGGGTGGGCGCAGCTCCGGTATGATGAAACCGGCCTGCAGGCTGGCAGTTTGACACCCCTGGCCTAAGGGGTATTTCTCCTGTATAGCATCACTTGGCCTGTTCGTTCTCTCTTAAATGAAGAGGGTTGGGTACCCTATAGATACACATGAAGAAGAAGAAATAGTCCTTTCATTATTTTTTCTTTCTCCTTTTTTGCTGTGAGCTTTATTACTATTATCAGAATTAGCTTGAAGCAACTTAGTCCAATTGTTTTTCCCCAGAAAATTGCCTTGTCTTGCTTTCTTAGCTTTATTTGCCTTCAGAATGATTGCTACTTTATAATTCTGCTAAAATATAATATTTCTATATCTCTTTAGAGACTGATACAGAAATGCTGAGAACACTGTTGCATATTGCAGTGGCTTGATTTTCACCTACATAGGGAGCGATCCTTTCTGTTCTGGGATCTTGCAACCATTGCCTTGATTTACATTTCTTAATATTTACTGCCCCCTAGTGCTGTACATTATCTTTAACACTTGTTAAAGTCTAAAGCAGACATGTCAAACTCGCGACGTCACGTGAAGTTATGCAACATATCGGGACTGTTTTGCCATTGCTGGCAATGGGGTGGGCGTAGCTTCCACATGACGCATCCGGCCCGTGGGCTGGCAGTTTGACACCCCTGGTCTAAAGGATTCACACTGGTTCTTAAATAGAAATTTGTTTTTAGTTAACCAATTTTTGTATTCAGATTTGGCTACAGATATGGCAGATTTTGTGAAATGTACTTTGTGTGTACATATGTGCAGGTTCCACAGATTTAGTTGTCCCACCAGTTCAGAAAAATGCTTTTAATTACAGGCAAAAAAAATTAAATAAAGAATGTGACAATTGCACTTCAGCTTGTGGACACTGTGTTAGCTACCATATAACATGGACTAGGGATCTTATTGAGGTCATGTTACATCTTTATGTCCCTGAGTTCCTTATGTTTTCATTTTTCCATTTTTTTTTGTTTAGTTATCGTTCTTTTGATATTTCTTGAAATTTCTGGCTATGGGAAAGGGTTGTTATTCAGGTATTCAATAGATAAGCAGATCATTAGGGTTCATTCAGTCCTTAGAATCTCTGTATAATTTGGGAAAAGGCCTCTCTAAATTTCTGGAACTTCCTGCTCCTGTGGTACTGTGCTAGACAAATGACAAAAGAACTTGACATAGTTCTGAAAATAGCAGGAAAATATTTTATTGGAATGCTTGGACTAAAAAAGGATGAATGCTTTAAACTAGTTGATTTTTAATGGTGATTTTAACAATTTGAGATATTACTTTTTGAATTTTAGTTTCCTTCAATATACACTTGCTGAATATACAACTATGTTAGTATATACAGCTGAAACATCCCTAACTGAATAGTATAGTTAAGATGGTTAGCAGTCTCTGAGAATCTGCAGTATTGACTTCTTTAAGACACATTTTCCTTGCATAAAAATCTACCATTTAATTTTATAAGGTATTAAAAGATGAAATAAAAGTATTAGTTATACCTTGATCTGTGGAAGAAAGAATTGGAATATTCAATTTCGGGAAATCAATGGTCCAGGTGGTAAAAAAAAATTGAAATACACTGCTTATGATTTAAAAATGAAATTAATTCATCAGAAAATAACTTTCAGATTTATTTGACCCATACAAGAATATTTTAAAAGTGAGGGAAGTTAATTTATTTTGAATGATACAAGCAATTTAACTTAACATGGTTTGGTCTTATTCTTTTATTGCTTTATTTTGGTTTCAGATTTTAACATATATGTTAATATAATTTTAGAAAGACATAGTTAATAATCTCAGTATGATATTGAACTATGTTTCTTAAATAAGAAGCCTACTTCTTAAACTCACCCACTTGTTATATGAGCCCAAGAGAGTAGTGTAGATAAAGGAGTGAAGAAGATAGAACTTTCATCTCCTGTTGTCTTTGTTTTATTTTATATTAAAAATGGATTCTATGCATTTTGATTAGTTATAAAAAAACCAGGTCCCTGAATAAAATGCATTTGCCTGCGAAGTTGCATATAATATGAACCTAACTTCCATACTGTTTTGAGTTTGCAAGTTAAATCTGTCAGCTATGTCAAAATAACATTTTTTCCATAGGAGCTGAAACTAAAAGATGAAGAATGTGAGAGGCTTTCTAAAGTACGTGATCAACTTGGCCAGGAACTGGAAGAACTCACTGCTAGCCTGTTTGAGGTTTGTTTGAAGACTTTGGTATAATATACTCTAGGAATGATATGGATAATTTCATTAAACCTTTAATTTTTTTCCCCAAAATGGCAAATTTGGAAATTGTTTGTGTTTCTGAACATTGCATATTCAAAATGAAGAAAATTTCTCCATAGCTTAGATGATGTTATTCAAATTTATGTTTTTGATTTTAGAATGATATTCTCATCGTTAGCTTCTCAGTGGTAATTAAGTCTCAGTGATTGTTTAAATTTGCTTAGATTCATTTTTCCAATTACTGTGCTATACTTCAGTAATTTTAAGGCATAGGTAACGTTCCTAACAGTGCATTATAAGTTTTTCAGAAGTTATGTCATCACAATTGCAAGATCTAAAATCTTATTTCTGTCTAATGCTTCTAATAAAAGTAAAATAAAAGAGAATTTTAAAAATGAATATATTGGGTCCTATTTTACATATATAGTGTAAATCTGTGTGAAGTAATTATACCACATAAGCTTTGTTTTCAATAGGAAGCTCATAAGATGGTGAGAGAAGCTAATATAAAGCAGGCCACAGCAGAAAAACAGTTGAAAGAAGCACAAGGAAAGGTGACTTCTAATTCTTGATATTATAGCCAGTATTTACAAAATTTCTCTCTTTCTCTCTGTGCATGCTTCTTTTTTGTGATTTCCTAACTGCATTTCAAATGTACAGAGTTCAAAAATCAATTTTGTTGATTCTGTGTCAAAACAATCTAAAGAGAAATTGGTGAGAAACTGTATTCTCACCATTTGAGAATAGGATTCTTATTTTTTGAATGATTATTTTGCATAAAGAATTAAATCAGTATTCAAAATTGGTAAGCCTTTTCAGATTCAACTCACTGCTGAAATAATCAGTGTAATCAATCTATTTATTTGCTCAATTCATATGCTGCTTTTTTGGCTCAAATTGAACACTGTGAGTGGCTTGCAGTTTTAATTAACATAAAAATGCAAAAAAAAAAGGAAATTAAAACAATTCCTAGCAAAATAAATCACTAGAACAGCCCTTAACTGTGTCCCTTTCATAGTTCTCCTTTCTTTCTATAATTATTTTATATTTCCTACCTCAAGCAAAATATTTTAATATATATGTTTGTGTGTGTGTGCATGTCCTACTAAAATAATTTTTCATAATTATATTACTGTTATACATTAATATAACGTGAATATAGAATAATACATTATAATTCAAAAGGTATCAGATTTTAGTTGCCCTTCAAAATCAATCTTGTTGCTAGTTTGCTACCTATGCACTGAAATCTTGATTTTTCTGGGGTTGCAATGCTTTTTATTTCAATCATATTGGCTATGAATTATGAAACTTATACTCACATGCATCTTTTTATGATAATTCCAAGGGCAATGTGCCATGTTTTCTCTTGTTATAAATTAAAAAATACAATAGTATTTCATCTTACTATGCAGGATGCATGTTTCTAACATATTTTTCTTTTGATATATATTTAGATTGATATACTTCAGGCTGAAGTAGCAGCTCTGAAAGCATTAGTGCTATCTACTTCTCCAACTTCGCCAACAAAAGAGCTTCAGTCTAGTGGAAAAACAGTCTTCAGAAAAGGCCACACAAGGAACAAGAGTACAAGCAGTGCAATAGGTGTCAATAACCAGGAAGTTAACATGATGCAGCCAATTGTAAAGGACTGCAAAGAGGTATTTTAATAATTGGGATGTGGTGAAATATGGAACTCGGGGATTGCAAAAAAATTTGGCTGCTTTTACAGAAAGTCCTTGTTTATAATTTGAGCCCTCTTCTGCCACATGCAACTGAAACTCTTCAGTAATGATGTTTGCTTGAAAGAAAAGTCTATATATAATCATTTGTTAGACCTGTTGCTTTATTCATGTGAATGCATTTTATAGTAGTAGTAGTAGTAGTAGTAGTAGTAGTAGTAGTACTAGTAGTAAAGTTGGAAGGGACTTTGGAGGTCATCTAGTCCAACCCCCTGCTCAGGTAGGAAACTCTATACCAGTTCGGACAAATGGCTGTCCAGTCTTTTCTTAAAAACTTCCAATATTGGAGCATTCACTGTTTCTGGAGGCAGGTTGTTCCACTGGTTAATTGTTCTAACTGCCAGGAAGTTTCTCCTTAGTTCTAGGTTGCTTCTCTCCTTGATTAGTTTCCATCCATTGCTTCTTGTCCTGCCTTCAGGACTGGAACATATTTTTGACAGGAACAGATTTTCCCTGTTTCAGTTTTAGCCACATACAAGGAAATGCTATATTGAGGAAAAACTCATAACTGCCCTCCCCCCTGTGGTTTGAATGATATAGTTGCAGCTGCACATTTAATTTAATTTAATTTAGGGTTAGCTTTTAGTTTCATTGGCTTAACAAGGCTTCTTCCTATATTAAGCTAGTTGTTGTCAGGTTTTTATGGGATGGAATTGGGAGTAAATTCTGGTAGAAAAAGTAGATAAAGAAAATAGAATCTCTTTTTTAAAAGTTATAGAATTAAAGCACTAAATTAATGGCAATTGGAAAAATCTCAACAATATGCTGTGTTCAAGAGATCTCCCATTTGTTGCATCAGCCAGCCAACTATACCATCCACTATTTCATTCCTTTCAACCATCCAGTTTTCTTTATATTCTTTTTCAACAGCCAGTTAGAAATTTACTGAGCATTTTTAGTCTACTTTTCCTAAGCGGACGGAGCATATATTTGCCATGTAATTTAAATATTGGTGGTCCCAGAAATTGTTAACTTCTTTAGTATGGTGCTACTTTGGCTTACACTAGTACATATCTCTTAAATCCAAAAAAGAAAAATTGATTGAAGTATGAACAATGGCATCTATGTATGTGAATATTAAGAAGCCAAAGGCAGAAGTTGACAAATAACTAATACTTTAGTTCAGTTTTCTCTGTTCTGGGTATTCTTCAAATATGTCGACTTCAATTCTTAAAATTCCCAGTCAACATAGCTATTGCTGAAGTCGATACCCAGTTTGGGGAAGTCTGCCTTACTTGTCCAGTTCTGCCGTTTAGTGCCTTGAAACCGCTATGCAATGGTACGATGGACTTTAATTATCTTGATTTAAGTGGAAGGATGAAGCACCTGCAAATTAATGTAGATTCAAAGTTCTTAACAAAGCTCTGCTGTCCACAGTTTGCTGTGTAATGTGCATCATTTGTTGATTATGGTTTGGTACAATATGGTTTATGCCAGGGCTTTTCAACCGGTGGTACCCGTACCACCTGTGGTACATTGGCACCTGGCAGGTGGTACGTGACCATCCTAGCGGGGGAGGGAAATGAGCTGAACCGGCAGCAGCACTGCACAAGCCTGTGCGAGAGACGGCTGGAGTTGCTCTTTTATGACTTGTGGACTTCAGCTCCCAGAATTCCTGAGCCAGCCATGCTGAGGGGAAAGGAAGAGGTTTCCAAGCTGAGCCATGCTGGCTCAGGAATTCTGGGATTTGAAGTCCACAAGTCATAAAAGAGCCAAGTTCCCCACCCCTGGTTTAAGATCTCTGAACTCTGGAGTCAATTTGAAACTTGCTTCATGGCTGTGATGTATTATTGTTTCAATGAATAATTAGAAGTTAGCATCTACATACCCATGAAAAAGAAATATCTTTGGGAAATATTAAACAGACAGGAACAATAGGAAAAGAGGTAGAAAACCTAGCCCCAGAAACCAACTATTACAAATACGAAAAGCTGTTCCAAAAGAAACATCCATTTCCCTTCTCTTAGAAAAGTCAAGCCGAAAAAAGTACCAGAGAAGAGGTTCTCTCTCTCCCTCCCTCCCTCCCTCCCCCCCCTCTCCCTCCCCCCAGCCAGCTCAGTTAATAGCCTCTGGTAGACAGCCAAGAAACGCTAAGCAAAAGAAACAATGTAGTGATAAGCGCTAGCCTTGAACAAACTAAAAGAAAGCTGTTGGTCAAGTTTTTGACACCTTGCTGGGCGACTGTTGGTACTCAGATATTGCCATATCCTAAAAGTGGTACAATGGGTAAAAAGGTTGAAAAGCCCTGGGTTATGATATAATGTGATTCTTGAATGAAGGCTTGGCCTCTCATTTTGCCTGTTTTATTTCAATGTTAGGCTGATATATCTCTATACAATGAATTCAGATCCTGGAAAGATGATCCTACCATGGACAGGACATGCCCTTTTCTCAATAAAATCTACGAGGAGGATATCTTTCCATGCTTAACCTTCTCAAAAAGTGAGGTAATGCTTTGAAAACATATAATGATACTTAGATTGGTTATGTAATATGAAAGAAGGCCTTTAAAACAACCACCACCTAATACTTTGATATCTTCAGTTAAGTGCAAAATTCCCTCTTTTACCTGCAAAGCATTTCTACAGAATTATAGGTAGGATTGATTTTGTTTGTATTGCACATACTGTAGCTCTGGACCACTTCACAGTTAAGGTCATACATATTATTTCATGAGAAAAAAATTTCTTCTGGATTCATTATTGAGAGTTTCAAAGCAGCCATATTGAACCTTTGAGTAGTTTCAGTTGATAAATGGTTTAAAGGAATCAATCTACGTGTAGTCCTTGATTAGTGATTGCCTCATTTAGTGATCCTGAAGTAACTTAACCAGTCCTCATATTTATGACAGCAAGACTGTAAAGCAAAGGAAAGCTGAAGTAAGATCATAAGCACAGTCCCAACTTCACTTTATCTGCTTTGCTTAAAATGCAAACTGTTTTAATGGAAAATATTTCAGTTAATTTTTCCAGATTATAATATATTTCTTTCCTTTTCCTTCCCATATTGTACTACAATCTTACTTCTCCTAAAATCTTATTTTAATGAATATAGATATTGCATTGGTTTCTAATCTTATGAACCCAGAATTAGAACCTCTGGGCAGTTGTTCTACATTGCTATTCTTCTTTTCACTAGCTTTAAAAGTTGATATGTTGAGACTTCCGGTTCCGGATTGCGGCGCCTCTAGCTGTACGAAGAGACCTCCGCCGGTAGACCCTTAGGCGGGTTGAACGTCGCCCTGGAGGGTGCGACTACCGTCGAGGAGGCTGTGCTCGGCTGCGGAGGAGCGGCGGCTCCCCCAGTTGGCCGAGTGAACTCTGAGGGCTGAGGGAGAAGATCGGCCAGTAAAATGGCCGATCAACCAGCTGTACCAACCACAAGTCAAAAGAACAACTAAGCATGAAGACCCACCGTGGTGAATCTGGGTGAGACTCCCTTTTCTCGCTATACTGATTTTTCCTGTAAAGTGCTCTGATTATTTCCCTTTGCTAAGAAAACGGCGGCTGCCTATATCAGAAAAAGAGCTTAAAAAAACTCTTCGTCTTTTTTGGTTGTTTTTTCTACCATTGGACTTTCTCTGTGGGGATATTTAGGGGAAAAGAAGAAAAAAGGGACATTGCTAATTTGTTCCTATCAACTTTATAACGTTGGAGGTACCTCTCTTGTTAAATTAAAAAAAAAAAGAGTGAAAACTTTTTGTTTTTTTAACTTTATCAACTTGGAAAAAAGATCTTATGGTCCATTGAGGACATCTGGTGGCCAAAAGTGACATTACAGCTCTATCTTTGTGATTGGAAGAGGGATTGGATTTCATATGACAGTAAAAGAGAAAAGATAATCTGACATTGGGTGGTGAAGCTGGCTATTAGACCTTTGGAGGCGGATATTTGTGGACTTTTGTTAAATATAGTTTCTAATAAAGGAATAGGCTAGTCTACCACCAAAATGGAAGAAAATATTCCATATCTTGACTATGATCTAATATTGGAAAACATTTTTGAAATGACTGCATACTTCAAAACTTATTGGAAATCTAGGAGACAATCTAAAGATGCCACCTTGGCACTTCCAACAGACCTTTCAACAATGAGTCAAGCCATGGAACAAGAAACACCAGAGGAAGAACAGAGCAATACTGAACAGGCTTTCACACATCAAGACATATAATCTAAAGAGACAGAGACATTATGCTTACAACCCAATGATGAATCTATGCTGGGAGAAAAGGTGGTAACCACTGAGCCCACTAATTCTACACAGCATTACCTATAATGGATGGATAACTTGGATGATCAAGAACTAACTGTAACTGATTCAGTTCAACTACCGAAAATTACAAAGATTGACACTCAGATACAACTTTCTGGAAATCACAACAAAGCGGATAACTTATTTACAATTATAATATGAAATAAAAGTCAATATAACGCCCAGATGATATTGGCAGGAAGAGAATAAAATTTTGCTCAGTTTGAATTGATTAGAAATTTTTGTAACCAAAGTTTGAAGTTTTAATATGGGAACCAACCTGGTCTAGAAAGAAAGCTAGAGTCAGGTTTAAATGTGATATAAAACATTACTTGATGGGTTAAAAAGGCTTTAGAGATTTTGTCTGATTTAACAATGAAAGAAGGATGAGAATTGACTATTATCATAGATAACTATTAGGGAGTAAACTTGTTTAGGGGTTAAAAAGATTTTATAGACGTAGAGTGATGAAATGATAGAACATGTTTTCAAAAATAGATTTTTTTTGGGAACTGCACTGTTATTTTAAATATGATAATTATTTTGAAACAGAGAGAGAATTTCTGTTTGATTTAATAATGAATGAAGGCTGGGAATTTCCTGACATTATTCTTGATAAGTATTTGAAAGTGTAAACTTTATAAAAGGGCTTTAAAAGATTTTTTTATAGATGTGGATTAATGAAATGATAGAATATATTTTTAAAAATAGAATTATATTTGTTGGATTTATATTGTTATTTTAAATGAGAAAAATATGCTGTAATAGAGAGAGAGAGTAAGAACCACTTGTGATAGGGAAAAAAATAGTTTTAATGAACGATCTATTATTAAGGATACCTGAAATCCCAAGTATATGTCTATTGAAATGTAACTGGAATATGACAATTGTAATTAGTAAAGCTTAACACAGGATATAGATTATCATAATTGCAAGGTGATTGAGGATTTTTGTTTGATTGAACTTTATCTAAAATTGTATTAATTTTAATAAGTAATATTATTCCTTACAGAGAGGAAATTGTTTATAATTAATTTGAGCCATATGTATATGATTTTGTTTTTGAATGATTTAACACTCTGACCACCATGTTGTGTCCTAAGCTTTTGTAAAAAAATGGAAAAAAAACAATAAAAGTTTTATTTAAAAAAAAGCTGATATGTTCATTAGTTTTTCAAATTGAAAGCCATCTGTCTTGATATATGAAATATACTGAGAATGATTTATTCTTGATCATAATCCATAAATGGGACCTGTGATATCTGAGCTCTGTTTGTGGGGTGGGTGTGGGATAATCTAATGTAGTTCAGTAGTACTTTCCCACCATCTAAAAGCTAGAAACAAATGAGAATTGCAATTAAACTCTAAAACTCTTTATCTTCTTCCCTGCCAATAAAAATGTGGAAGAAAATAATGTGAAATTTCCCAATAATAATGGCCACCAAAATGCTGCCTTCCCTTGCAATGCAAATCTAAAGGTGGTTCTTATGTTAAGGAATTGTATGGTTTTGCTCCTTTGTATTATATCCTGTATTGTTCTGGTTTATATGAGAAGAACCATGATAGGGTCTAGCCTTAATGCAATTTCTGCTACTAATATAGCTTTGGAGAGAGCGGTAGCAGCTAGATATATTTTTCACATTTTCATTCCTGTGCTTCTAAAGCAGTATTTCTCAGTCTTGACCACTGGAAGATATATGGACTTCAGCTCCTAGAATTCCCAGGGAGCCATGCTGGCAAAGAATTCTGGGAGTTGAAGTGCATACATCTTTAAAAGGCCAAGATTGAGAAATACTGATTTAAAATATTGAAGGTACACACCTCAGGTAAATTAATAGTATCTCCAGATAGAGCTCATAACATGGGAAACACCTTGGGACAACTAGTACTTACCTCTTTTTGGTCTATTTTCAGTTGGCTTCTGCTGTCCTGGAAGCTGTAGAAAACAATACATTAAGCATTGAGCCTGTTGGTCTGCAGCCTGTTCGATTTGTAAAGGCTTCTGCAGTTGAATGTGGAGGACCCAAGTACGTTGCAATGTAAAGGATCTTATGGTACCAGGAATGTATTGCTGGGTTTTATTCTGGCAGCCAGAAAGAAATGACTAAGAGATTTATCCCAAATCAGAAACTCCATAAATGCTGCATTGAAAGCTACAGGATGCCCTACTTCTTTCTCAGAAAGCCAGGGATCTCCATTTTCTTTTGTACAGAGAGAGAAAGTTGTGGCCCTTGCAAGTATTACCAGGGCAAAGGTAGTTGATGTGCCATGAGAGAGATTAAGAAAATAGACTGGGCTATTAATGAAAAGCCCATAAGATAAGTTAGAACTCTAAGTAACTCTGAGAATCACTGTCATTGAATCTCACAGTCCTAACTTAATTTATGGGGCTTAGATTAATAGCCCAGTCTACTTTCTTTTCTTAATAAAATCAGGAGCAGTAGTAACATTTACTGGTGGTGATTCTGAGGCTGATTATGGTTGTGAAAATAAATATTTCGTACGCTTAATAATTATGTTATGGGAAAAAACCAACTTTCTAGAATCTAATTTCACTTTCTTATATTTTATGTGGTATCTATGTTTTTTTACTTGTAAGCAGGGCTTTTTTTCTCACAGAGCGCCCAGAATGGAGTTCCGGCACCTTTTTTGGATGGAACCTTGTAGGGTAGGCAAGGCGGGTTGTATGATGTGTTCCGGCACCTTTTTTTTTTTTTTTTTTTAGAAAAAAAGCACTGCTTGTAAGGCAAATAACTATAACAAGAATACATAGATGAAAATACTGGAACATGTTCTAATATTTGCACATCTTTTTACTTTATCTCCAAAAAATAATACTTTGTTACCATCTGCATTAAATAATGGCAGGGACATGCAGGAGTTATAAAGCACATTTGTGTACACTGATTATCTTCTTGGTTTTGCTAGTTGCCTGAGACTATTACCAGGCATCTGATGTGCTCCAGTACTTCGAAGGGAAGCTTTGTACATCCCAGGCTCTGCAAGCCTGACAGTTAATTGGCTCAAGAAGCAAGGAGTGTCCTTCCTGTCTCCATATTTTACTGTGCTTTCTACATTTCACTCTTTTCACCCCTACAAATTACACACCATCTTGGCTATATCCCCATTTTTTTATGGCATAAAGAAGTTTTTTCCCCCAGGATCAGGCATTTCACTGATCTTATTTCTCATTCCCCCCATGGCCCTCCTATTGCATCAGAAGCTGACTTCAAGTAGTTGTTCAAGTGGCACTTCTTATAATTAGGTAACTAGCAAGAGATGAGCATCAAACGACCTTTATAGGTAACATTGTGGCTGAGTTCATATATTATACTAGGGCTAGGCTATAACCATTGCAAATCACCACCATAGAGATGTTAAACCACAACAAAGTGAAGAGATCTGAAGTCTGGAATGGTTGAGATGCTTTTAGGGGGAGGGGACTTCTTTTAAAAAAATTGCAAAGACCACTGCAAAGGGCAATTCTCTCTGGAGTTATAAATTTTACTTGTGTGGTTTAACACTTTACAAAACATTGTAAACCCTGAGCATATCAGTTCATAACTTACAATAATTTCTATCAAAGTGGTGTAAAAATAGATGACAGGCTTTTTGGTAAACAACTATATCATAATTCAGTATTCATGCAAATTAAATCATAACCCATCATTTAAAACTGTTCCATTCTGTTGACAGAAAATGTGCTCTCAGTGGACAAAGTAAATCCTGCAAGCATCGAATCAAGCTGGGGGACTCAGGAAACTACTATTATATTTCTCCTTTCTGTAGGTATAGGGTAAGTATCGAGCTCTAAATCATAATTTGTATATCTGGATTAGGCAAGTAATTGAACATGTGGAGTTCTCATTCTTTATTTTCCATCTTTTGTACAGATCACATCAGTATGTAATTTCTTCACATACATTCGATATATTCAGCAGGGGCTTGTGAAACAGCAGGATGGTAAGTTAAGAATGAGGGTTACTGTAAGAAAGTTGTGTATTTCTTAACAGGGCTGCTATATTTTTTTCAGCAAGTTGTGGGTTTTCAAATTTGGCCATGACTGATAGAAGTTTATTTTTGCTATATAAACCGAGAACTTGGGGAAGTTCTAATGCTCCTAACAACCTCTAAACCTGCATCTAAAACCACCTACTTTGCTGCTTTTTTATATTCCCATATGGCATGCAGTTAGGAAGAAGAATTTATTTTTCATAATTAAGCTGAGAGTCATCTGTGCAAATTTCAAAGGGGCAATATGTCATTAAGCTTTTAATTTCTAGACAATCACTGAGTTTCATATAAATATATCCACAGATTTTTGTGACAGATTGTCTGCATCAAGGAAAGGTGGGGGAAGAAAAATAGAAAACAGAGTTGCATTCTTCTAAATTGGGCATACAGAGAATATATATATACCATTTTTCCTATTCTCTTACTTTCTTACATCATTTTGTGAATGTTCCATATCTGCACTGCACTTGGGGATTAAATTAGATAAACTATTTAAAAGTTAGATTCAAACATGCAAACTGATTTTAAAAATGGTAAAACATTTTTAAAGATGTAAGCATCATCACTGTACTGTCATGTGAAATCTATTTTACATGGTCTCAGTATTTTAATATTATATGAAAAATGTTGCATGCAATTTGATATGTTCATCCTTAAATCGTTAAACATCAGCTAAGTAATCTGTCATAATTTTTATATCTGTATGCATAGTTGTTAATTCTATTTTTGTGATAATGTTTTTACACCATTATAAGGTAGTGGATTTTGAAATTTAGATGTTTTTATCTGAGTCCTTGTAGGTGCATCTAAAAAAAAAAACCTAAATGGCTGTAGGATTCTGAAGTAAAGAATTTTTTTATATAAACAGATTAAGTAAATAGTTTTAAGGCAGGAAAAATATAATTAATATAGTGCAGTTGGTAATGGTTGATGTGTCATTAGATTTCACCCGCAAAATCTTGAATTAGTTTGAAGGATGAACTGAATGATAAGCTATGTAATCAAAAGTGATTAGACATGACATATATTAAAATAAAATATACATTTTTCCAGTCAGTGCCTCTCAGTAGCTGTATTATATTTAAATAGTGCTTTTAGTATCTGAAAACTCAGATTTAGCATTGCTAAATATCTTTGTTCATTGGGAACTTCAAAAGAAGCATTTTTTCCCACAACATCTCCTTTTCTTTTATACAGTGGACCAGATGTTTTGGGAAGTCATGCAACTGAGGAAAGAGATGTCGCTGGCAAAACTTGGCTATTACAGGGAGGAGCTGTAACTCCAGCATTTCTGATGCCTGCATGAACTTCCATAACTGTACATACATTTGAGCTGGTTCTATATCCATGTCTATTTATTTTGAAATGGGTCCAAGATTATGTGCAGTTTGCACTACATACTCTTGTAATTCAACAGAATAATTTTACACAAGAGATTATAAAGCTGGCAAGGCAAGAGAATTTTCAGGTATACTTGTGACTATAACTTATGATTGAGAAATTTAGGTGAAACACTGCTCAAGATTTATGTGCATTTTTGTGTGTTCTAGAGAGAGTTTTTAATATAAAATTTCAGCTTAATAAAAAGTTAAATCTGAACCTTTTCTGGGTCTGAAATGTTCTTTTAAAAATGTGTACTTTGTAAAATGTATGAAAGAAAGTGATTATTTTTGTCAAAAAACAATAACTGAGGGCCTGAAATGATTTTGGATAAACGATGATGAATTAGTGGAAGTGGGGATATAGCAAATGTTCACACTGCATTTTCATTAAGAACTAATTGTTTGCAGTAAGATGAGATGAATTAAAAAATAATATCAACTACTGCTGATTTAGCCTTCAGAGGTATTGAATGTCTCTGAATGCTTTCATCTTCTGATTCTACTTAGCAAATTTTAAAATTATTTGAAGTATTTTTCTCTTCAAGTCTACAATATTTGCTTTGTTGGGAAATCAAACAGAAACATATTCTCTAAGGACCATGGGACTCTTGTGTGTGATTAGTCAATGAATAGAAAGAAAGTTCTGTTGAAAAAAACAGCATGGAAAAGGTTCATCGGCTTTGAATAAAAATTAAATCACAATTTGTGCCAGAGTAAAATTAAATCACATTTGTCTCCTGCACCAGTAGCTGCTGAGTAGACATTTGGTACTGTCAATACTGATGAGATCACAAACATCCTTATTGATCCATCACCTTTTTTTTAATTTGACCATGGCTAAAAACACTCTCAAAACATTAACTTCGCTATTACTTCTCTTTCCAACACTGAGATTTGATCAGGTCTTTTCTATTTATTTCTAGTCTGAAGTTTATCTTCCACTTGGTATGCAATTACACAGGTTGCTACTCTGAGGCAAATACTGGGATATTTAATCGTTTCTTGGTCATGGTCATTAGGCGCTAGATTGCAAAATAAAAGCTACAGAGTTGATAGATTTGGTCTGAATGGTAGCTTTCGGTATCTTGCAGTACTACAAACTTGTTTTTCTCAATATTTTTATCTCTGAGAGACTCTTGAAATAATTTTTAGGCCTTAGGAAACCGCTGGATAAAAATTGCAAAAAATATGAAAATTGCACAATACAGTTCAATTCTAACTTCCATAATACATGATTTTATAATGTTTACACCAACAGCAAAGCTGTTGCAATTGGTTGAAATTAGCAGCACCATTGTGTTGCACATGAAGTTCCAAGACATTTTTTTAAAATCATGGAAAGCCAGATTGTTTGTAGTCCCTTTCTCTACGTTGCCAGAAATGTTTTACAGTTTTGAAGGCCCATTTTATGACCTTAACCTGCCACAGTTAAGTGAGTCACTGCAGTTTTTAAATTAGTAACAGTCGTTAAGTGAATCTGGCTTCCTGACTTTGTCAGAAGGCTGCAAAAGGTGATCACATGACCCTGGAACACTGCAACTGGGTTAAATATGAATCAGTTGCCAAGCATCCAAACTTTGATCACATGACCATGGGGATACTGCAATAGTTGTAAGTGTGAAAAAGAGTCATAAGTCACGAATGAAGGCAAATATATATGTCCCAGGATAGTGTTGCAAGACCAATCTGGTCTTCCGAACTTTTGGATTCCTGCTGGAGCCCATTCTCAGGGAACTTCTCTCTTCCAGAATGTGTGGACAGGCAAAGAGCTGTATTTGTTGAATAAAGAAAAAATAATTTGGAGCTTCTCTTGATTATAGTGGTAGTTTCTGTTGAATATCAGTGTCGTTGGTGGCAGTGATAACAGTTAGATACCTCCATCAAAAAGCAGTAAATTCATTTGTCTCCAACAGAGCTTGTGATGAATATAAAAATGACAGCCACCAAAAGCCCTGAGAAAGAATACAAGTCTATCAGTCTAATTTATCATGAATTGATTGAATATCTTAACAATTTTGGAAGAGTTATCTCCAGTTCTTACTATACTAGCACCAGTTTTTAAAGAAAAAGGTATTCAACTGCGACCACACTAACATAGTTGTCAAATCAAATTTTCATATATTGAGATCTAAATTTTGGTCATGCCAGGTTAGCCCTCTCATGCATCTCAAATCATGGATAGGTAGGCTTTGTTATAGACCAATCTGGCCTTCAGTAGCAGCAGCCACCAGAGTCCAGGACCACTTAAGGTCCACTAATGGCATTGGAGATGAGATCATATATTATTCTTGATATCTTTATTCTTTCATAATAATACCATAATTCTACAAAAAAGTCTGCTGTTTTAGATGTTATCTTAATAATTCTTAGGTCCTTGGTTAGGACCTGACTTACTAAGTTTTCACCAGTCTTAGACTGTGAATCTATAGATTACTCACACATAATTTCAACTGCAAATTATGGTATATATTCTTTTTAAAACTAATATCCAGTTTCTAGCTCTTTAGGTCATGATAATAAAGTACTGTTAATTTATAAAGTACTGTTAATCCTTCTAAGTCAAATACTAATGACAAATCTGTGATTTACACCAAGATTGTGTTTTCGTGATAGGTAGCGTGAATAATCTTTGGAATAGCATTCAAGTAGCCTTGAATCAAATTATTGTCTTAAAAAAGGATATTTCAGTTGTGGGTAATTTTTAATTTAATTTGCAATATCATAAGGAAGAAGTTGTAGCTGATACTATTTAACAACATATTGTGTAGTTAAATTGGAGGAAAAAGATGAAATTTTATACTGCTGGGATTGTAATAAACTCTAATTGACCCCAAATCTGAATTTCCACTCTTTTACTCAACACATAGCAATTGTTGTTATAGATTACAATTGGAGTCGTTATTACAACCAATTGGAAGACACACAATTGGAGAAGAGTACTTAATGTAATAGTGTTTCCTGGGTGTTTTCTACATCAAAACCAACTGAACACTTTATTTCAGAATGAGAATGAGATTAGAAGACATGAACTGCAGAAGATACAGAACATGCTGATCATTTTGTAAGCAATTTAGTTTTCCTTCTCAATGCAGTTTAAGTATTTGCTCATATCATGGACATACTTTGTTAATGAATGGACATAAAGTAAAAGATCAATAACTCCACAAGATGGCAGCATTTAAATTTAAATGTGGGGCTACTCTGCAGAAAACATAATTGCATTTAATAGCACTAATTCCCAAAACAAACAGGCGAGATGTTGCACCTTTTCAATCATTTTCTTATTTACTTAAGAAGGTGGCATTTGTGTAATAGCATCACCATACATATTTTGGTGTCTGCTATGGTGTGCTAGAGACTGTTTCAGCATATTTTATTTATTTCCACTGCTCAAGGAAAGTAGTAGCTAGAGAGACTTCAGTAATAAACTGTAGATAAAAGCTAAGTTATCAGGCAATAGCTCACTACAACAAAGCATAATGCTGTTTCTTTCTAAAAACACTTGTGCCATCATTGGACTTCGGTTCAAAAGAATTCTTTTTTAAAAAATAAGCAGTTTTTGTTATTGGACTCCAGGTTATGATTATTTTCTGAAATATATTACATAGTAGTAGTAATAATAAAAATAACAAAAAATACCACAGCAAGGACTTCCGGTGGATTTGCGCGCGCGATGGCGGCTACTTTGTAGCCGTCCTCCTGGGTAAGTGTTTGAATCGCTATGAACAGCGGCCATCAGCAGTTCAAAATCCCCCTCCCGGGCAAAGGGGGGGGGGGGAAGACGGTTGTCTGAATGGTGGTAGAGCCACTCTCATGCACCCCAAGGCTTTTTTTGGGGGGTGAGAGGAGTGCTCCCACGGAGTTCAGACTGTCTCCGCTTCCCAGCTGCTTTTGTCCCTAGGGACAAAACAAGCCGCTGCAACCACCTCCGCGATTAAAGTGATCTGGTGAGTTTTTTTTAGAGGCGGACAGAGCTGAGTAGAGGATTTAGCTTTTGCTTTCTTTGATTTTATTTGGATTTTAAGTTTAAAGATTTACTTTTATATTCCCTCTTTTTATTTTTTTTCCTTTTGTTGAAAGGGAAAGTAAAATGGCGATCGGCAAGCCTTTCGGTTTTTGGGGGGGGGAGGTAGAATGGCGATCGGCAGGCTTTTTGGTGGTTTTTTTTATCCTTTTCCTTTTTTTTTAATGATTGGAACGGAATGTGGATTTGATTTTGATGTTGGGTTTGGATTTTAGAAGCATTATTATTTTTGTTTAACTTCTTTGTTTTGCTTTTTGTACTTTTAAAAAAATGGAATGGATTTTTTCTATTTAATTATTTTTTTCTTCTTCCCTTTTCTTTTTTTAACTCCTTTCTTTTTATTATAATGATCTCCTTTTGAAGGATTTTTTTATTTTTTGGAGTTAATCTCTCTTTTTTTTGTTTAATTTTTGTAACTTTTAAGAAGGAGTAAAGATTTTTCTAAGATGGCTCCAAAGTGTTCAGTATTTTTTTGTTATAATGATCTCCTTTTGAAGGATTTTTTGAATTTTTTTGGACTTAATCTCTCTTTTTCTTTTGCTTAATTTTTGTAATTTTTAAGAAGGAGTAAAGATTTTTTTTAAGATGGCTCCAAAGTGTCCAGTAATTCCTACAGCTCCTAAGGTGGTTTCTTCTTCGGTGTTATCATCAGTGCAACAACCTAAATCAATAGCTTCACCCTCTTCCTTGGTACAGCCAATAATTGTGAAGGATTTGCAAGATATGATGGGAAATGTTATATCTCAAATTAGGGCAGAAATGAAAGAGATTTTAGAGGAAAATAATAAGATTTTGAGGCAAGAGATAGTTTTGGCTCTAAAAGGAGTTGCCTCTGTTCTTGAAAAGCTGAACTCTCATGTAGAAGAGGTAGAAGAAAAAGTGGAATTGATGGAGTGGAAAATTTGAAAGCATGGAAAAAGAAATGGAAAATGAGATTCTTATGCTTCAATATAGACAAATGGAATATGCCTTAAGAATCTGAGGTTTGGGAGAGTCTGTGCAAGGAGATCTGAGAGAGATGGTTGCAAAGGACTTTGCTGTGATTTTGAATAAAGAAAAAAAGGAAATACTTAGTGAAATTGAAAAATTATTTAGAGTTAACTCTGTGGTGGCAGTGCAAAAGAATTTGCCAAGAGATGTGGTAATTTACTTTGGGAAAAGATCCCTGCGCAACGAAATTATACAAGCTTTTTATAAG